GGCATTCGCGGCGGAAACGCGATTCTGTAGCTTCCCAGAGGAATTACACCCGCGGCGATTCGACACAGAACATTAAGTCCGACTGCCGTTTACCGTAATTTACTAGCGATTCCACCTTCCGAACGATTAGGGCCCCGATAGCGGGGGAGAAGGAGGAGTCGGGACTCGCTTCCGGGCAAGATTTCCGCGTCGCGCAAAGTGAGGCTGCAAGAAACCGTAATCACTTCCTCTTTTTCCCCCCATTCAGCTCTCTTACGTCACAATTTTCTGTTCTTTTTTCAAAATGCACTTGAAACAGTCAGGCCATTGGGTTTCGAAATTGTCTCTTGGGCGGAAAGAAAGTGAAGTCTTGCGTGATACAGTCTCTTCTCTTCGAGAATCAATCGAGAGTCTCCTCTTTTTATCAGATATATGTTACAATTTCCGATGCCTCAATTATACTAATATTAAATATTATTTCATATTATTATATTTATACTAATATTTAATATTATATAATATAATTATATTGTTATAATAATATTATATAATATAATTATATTGTTATAATAATATTATTTAATATTATTGTATTATTATAATATTATTTAATATTATTATATTATTATAATGATATTATTTAATATTAATATTAAATTATATCTTTAATAAGTTTCTTTTTTATTTGAAAAAACCACAGAGGTAATCATTATATATTGTGATTACTATATTTATTCTATGAAAATATATACATTGAATATAAGTGGTATTTTTACTACGTCACATGCGATATCAAAAGCTTGCTAGACGCGACGAGAGAGAGAAGGGTACCCATTTCCGACGCTAACAATCTAGACAATCTAGGAAATGGAGGGTCAACCTTTTATCGCGCGCAAAATCGGGTTAAGTCGTTCTAATCAACTTGTCAACAAACACATGGTACATATATAACAGGGTATAAAGGCATAGTCAACTACATTATCAGTAACATGATATGAGATTGATAGACTGGACAAGAGAAGGGATCCAAACGACAATGATCTCAACTGCTTTCATCGAACAATCGACCAATTTGGACCGACTTGTCGGAACAAAGCGTGCTGTTGTTGAGCTTTTGGATGACGATAATGCACAAGTGTTCTAGAAAACGAAGCAATCTGCCTCGCGAAATAACAGAAATAACTCAAAAATAACAAAAACAGAAAAATATTCTCTTATAAAATAAATTATAAATTATATATTATAAATATATATTATAAATTAGAAATATATTATAAATATATATTATAAATTAGAAATATATTATAAATATATATTATAAATTTTTTATCAATTCTAAATCAATTTAATCAATTTTAAATAGGATTTTGTGCATCAGCTGATTTAATCGGTCCGAAAGTTTATATCAAAATATTGAACGCTTTACGAAATAATTCTATGCCGAATATTCTATTTTTCTCCACTTCCGATTGATTATTAATAAATTGAGTGATTAATAAATGTGATTTATTAATCAATTGATTAATAAAAACGATAAATATTAAACTGATTGATAACGGTTTTCCATTATCTTAATTATCCATTTTATGTATTATTCTACGCTCTATATAGCAATTGTATTTTCCGTCACTTGAATTTTCGCAGATTCGTATGTTTTACTTTGCTCTTTTAATGCGAAAATCATAACGATAATGATAATTATAAATTAGATCGGTGAGAAAAATTTAAAGCGCCAATTAATGAAAGAAAATCTATAAAACATCTGTAAAAAACGTCACTTTTCGTGGACTACATCTTGAGATCTCACGAAAGATTGTGTCATTTTATTCCAATTAATCGCAATCACAAAAGTTATTATATCAGAAATGATGGTTCGATTTCTAAAAATATTTTAATTAAAAGTATGACGTTTGACGAAGGAATTTCCCACGGATGAGCTGTTCGATACTCGAAGGCGCACTGAGAAAAAAATCTAGTTGCATTAATTAGAATTCTGATAGATTCAACCAGTATGTCTGTTGGAAAATGGACGAACCAGAATTCTTGTAGGAATTACCAGATGAATCTGATTAATTTCTTCCTGTTAAATTTACCAAATTTTCTGGTTAATAATACTAAACTCCCCAGCACCAAGTCGTCTAAAATTTTTTCCATCTAATCTCAAAAGTCTGTTTAATATTTTGAATTCCAACAAGATTATTCAATAAATTCAATTCAGATTATTGAATAAATTATTTTAAATTCAGTTTGTTAGAAATTAAACTGATAAACAGTAATGCAAGAAGAGGATGCAGCTCAAACACACACAATCAGAGAGCCAGCGTCCTCTTTTTGGCACTACTGCTCGTAAGAAAAAAAAAATATACTTTGGATTTAATGTTAATACTAGTTCTCTTTATATACATTTCATGGCAAATATTGAATACGAGTTAAGGTAAGAGTGGCTTGCCGCCTAATGACAAGCAAAGAAATCAATGTAACAAGAAATTTTATAGATCCAACCAGAAAATACTAACTAAATCGTTATAGTAAAATCTATTAAATTAAATTCTATTAAATTAAATTCTAGTTATAAAAAATCGAGTCTTATCATGATAACTAGAAATTCTTGTTTGATTTAATCAAAATGTCTTCAATCGTACGTCTTGTTGGTACAATCAAACGATTTTTCTCAGTGCGAGAATCGCCAACAAAGGCGCGAGTGAGAAGTGAAAAAGTCAAGCAGAGATGACTGACTCGAGAAAACCCCCTGTAATAGACATACAAAACACCTTTATTCACTCGCGGGTTTCTCTCGCTTCCGTCCGTCATTTTATTTATCGTCCCCTTCGGCGGCGGTTATTCGACCTCTGTCGCGTTACCGCGAAACGCTATTAAGCTACCGTTATCCAGGTAATAAGGGCCCTTAGTCGCGCGCTTAAGGCACGTATAATGATGGGCGCGTCACAAAGCGCGTTACCGCGATTCGACGTGCCGACTAAACGTGAATTGCCAATTAGTGGTCGTCAATAAATAAACGTCTTCGTCCCCCGGTAAAGATCTCTTCCGCCATCGAAAGAATACGTAAGACGCTCTCCCGGGGCAGCTTTCACGTGGGATTTTCACCGCAGATTTTATCTTAACATAATGAATTTTTATTTTAACACATTATTATTTTAATAACGTTTCTGTTACCTATTTGTTTTAATAAAAAAATACTCCATTCGCGTCCTGCCAATTAGCGGTCGTCAGCAAATAAGCGTTCTCGTCCTGCGGTAAAGAGCTTTTCCGCCATCGAAAGAATACGTAAGACGCTCTCCCGAGCCATCCTCTACGTGCGACTTCCCCATCGCAGATTTTAATTTAACATAATGAATTTTTATTTCAATTTTATTTCATTTTATTTCAATTATTATATTCTTAATAATTATATTTACCTTTTTTTTAATGAATAAAATTCGTTCTTCGTTCACCTGTTTGTTGTTCAACGATTGATGCGATTAGAGATAATGTTCGACCTCTAATTATGTTCTCACGTGTCGTGTAATCATTTCATATTCCATGTGAGTTGTGTTAATCGCGCGATTTCATGTTCGTGATGCAACGAGTTAAGCACATTTGCTACGAGAGAGAATCATAAAGACTCTGAATAAAGGAAATTGAAGATGATCAGAGAGAAGATGCAAAAACAGCCTTTGTAATTTATTATCACGATGAATACAAATGAAAGAAAAAATTGTTCAAATGATAATTATCGTTAATTATTACCTTCATTTTATACTTGACTATTATAGTTAAATTTAGAAGAGGAAGAGAGAGATCCATACACACTTATATTTTTTTATCAAATCTCTTTATTTTTATCTTTTATATTCAGTTCCCTTTAAAATTAAGAAAAGGAGTTTATTGGATAAAATCGATGAATTTTCTAATTTTTTATACTTTTATACATATTTAATATTAAACGCTCTTTGGATCCATTTTATGTTGCAGTCGTTAAATGAATTTGACCGATAATTTTAATCAATATTGCAATCAAATGATCCGGACGCGAGATATATAAATACATAATTATTTAAATATTACATTACTCGAAATTATGTAATATATAAGTAATTATACATTTACATCGATGAATACATGAATTTAATGAGTTTGTACAACGCGTCGATCACATTATCGTAGAAATTATGACTCGAATAAAATTGCGAATCGCATAGTCGCGACCATCGCGCATTCCGATAAATACATAATCACGAGAGAAACGATAATGACATAATACGTCGCGATGGCGGCAAATCGATGTCACGTCCGATACAATTCCGATCGTCCCGACGTAGATCGGACCGTTGGGGCGTTGATTTAGTCAAACGCGAGCAGATAACTCATTATCTGTCAAAGTATCGAGAAGCCACTGGCCTAGGCACTCCATCAAACTGACGTATTAATCTAATTAATTCCAATTGCCGACGCGAGGGTAAAGTTCCGCGCGATAATTAACACTCGAGTACTTACCTTCGTGTCAAATCGATCAACCTTAGCGCAACCTTTCAAGAATATATAAGAAAGAAATGAGAATATTTTATGCTAAAGATTAGTATTCCACTTTTTTCTCTTTTTTTTTTCGAATAAAAAACACGAAATAATGACTCACAAGTCTTATTTCCGATTGACTTTGATTTCAAAGCATTTCCTCGAACATGAAGTGAAGCGAGATATAAGACGGTTTTGCTGACAAAAAATGATAAGAAAAAATTAATAGACGTTATAAAATTTTCCATTTAAAAAATTTGTTGACGCTAAAAGTTGTCTAAAATAAAAAAATTAATAGACGTTGTAAAATTAGTAAAAAATAGCGAGCGCTTTCTCGTTACTTTTCCAAAATTATTCCACTTGACGGTGGCAAATTTAATTAGAATTTTTTATTACGGCAAATGTTAAGCTCACATTTTCGAGAATTAATTACTAAATTAATTACGCTATGAAGCTGGACTTTGCAAGATCCGTCAGAGGAAGGGACTTATAAATATTATCATTTACAGCGACGTGACAGTCTCGTCAAGTGTCCGCGAATGGCTACGTTCGCCGGCTTTCGACGCGCGACAATGGGAGGACGAAGAGCTGCTGCTGATGCTGCAGACCATGTTCGTTGATCTCGACCTACCTCAAAAGTTCAACATTCCCTTGCCGATTCTGAGGAACTTTCTCTACGAGGTCTACAATAATTACAACGAGGTGCCGTTTCATAATTTCAGGCACTGCTTCTGCGTGGCACAAATGGTAAATGTCCCGTCTTTGTATTATTCTTTTGTAATTACCTTTGAGAAGAGACAATTGGGAACTAATAGTGCAACGTAATTTATTTTAATCCATGATGAAAAAATAGTGATTGTGATTAGGAAGGAAACGAGAATATTTTGTTTGCTGAAAAAGATTCTAGAATTGTGTTTTTATTTTCTTTTTTTTTCCAAATGAAAAAGTATACAGGGTGTTTCTAAATAAGCGCAAAAATTTTAGTAGATGAATCTTTGTTGAAAATGAAAGGGATTTTTCATATAAACATATATCCCTCCTTGAGTTACATTCCTTCAGAAGGAGAGATGAAAATTAGATTTTTATTCCTTTTTCTCAAATTTTAGACAAGTTAAAAAAATGAAATTTGATGGATATTTTTTATTAGTAAAAGAGATACTTATTAATATTTTTTAATCTTGCCGTATCGTTATAAGAGAATAAACAACTCCTATTTAATTTTTTATTTTAGAATTTTTTTAACGAATCGAAATGTGAGCCTCTAAAAATATGCGAAGTTTATTTATTAGAAAGCTTAATTTCTTTAGGAACTTTCTTTTATTTTTTTCGTAAAATTAATAGTTTAAAAAAATACACTATACTAATGGCATAGGTTTAAAAAAAACACCCTGTATATCGATACAAATCGAAATTATCGATTACTGAGATAATAAGCACTCAACATCGCTACATTAAAAAAATCTTATCTGCATTGTACTCTCTAAAAAATTATACATTACAATAATTTTATACTGATATACAATATTTTTACTGATACGTAATCAATGTTAGAATGATAACGTCAGCAGATTTTATTTCATTAAATATATAGTACTCTGTTAAATTGTAGACAGTGTTTTCAGTTACTTTTATAGCTTTTTTGTGTGTTTAGAAAATATGTTTTAATTTAATTAATCATAAAGCAATAATTGTATTTTAATTAACGTAATTAACAGAGTATCTACTTTATTTTCATATTCCTTGCGGGATCATTCTGTAGAATGACTCTAAACATGGAAAATATCAACAATATTCTAAATTAAATTTTTATATAATAATTCTGTAGAATGACTCTAAACATGGCGAATATCAACAATATTGTAAATTAAATTTTTATATAATAATTCATCAAAATACACTTGATGCATAGCAAAATTGATTCAGCGTTAATCGATCGTGTCTAGATGTACGCGATAGCCTGGGCGGTGGATCTCCCATCGAAAATCGGCGACCTCGAGGTGCTCATACTGATCGTCTCCTGCATCTGTCACGATCTCGATCATCCGGGCTACAACAATATCTATCAGATAAACGCGCGGACCGAACTGGCGCTGCGTTACAACGATATCTCGCCCTTGGAGAATCATCACTGTTCGGTGGCATTTCGGGTTCTGGAGGCGCCCGAGTGCAACATTCTCGCGTCCTTGGATAATCCTACGTACAGAGTAGTTCGCGAGGGCATCATACGGTGCATCCTGGCGACCGACATGGCCCGGCACAACGAGATCCTCGGCCAGTTCATCGACATCACTCCCGAATTCGATTACACCAGCAGAGCGCACATAAATCTGGTAAATACGCCGACTAATGGAGTTAGATAGGGTTGCACGAGATACTAAGATTAGTCTTGATATTGTCTTGTCTTGTCTTGAGTTTCAAGACAAGATCAAGACAACATTTTTAATTAGTTATCAAGACAATACCAAGACTGTCAAGATTATTAGTCTTGTCAAGATTATTGGTTCTCAAAAAAACTAAAATATTTATATTTGTAAATAAAAAAAATCACTATATACGAATTTTAAAAAATTTTATTCAATAAAAATATTTATATTGATAAATTTAAAAACATTTAATATTAATACAATATAACATTTTTATAAATTAAAAATCAAATTCTCAAATTTTAGACATTAAAGAGCATTTCATCCAGGAATTGATGCACATTAGTGCTTTTAAAGATTTACTTTGTCTGGTTTTCTATTTTTTGACATAGTCAGATTCTTATTGAGAAAAGTCTTTCTACTGGCACGGAGGCAGTTGAACTTAAAATGTCTCGAGCCATTTTTGACAATGTGGGATAAATATGAACCTGATTTTTGTATTACTCCAAAATATTTATATCTACACGTTCCCTTGGAACCTGTAAATAGTTATTAATTTCTGTTTTCCATGAAACAGTAAATGTTTTTTTTATGTAAATAAACGGTATTTATATCGATTACATAGTAATAATTATAATTAAAATATAATACAATAGTAATAATTATTTCAAATTGTATTAAAAAAATTATGTTAAATATTACTTAAATAACTTTTTAATATTAGATAAAAAATTGTTAATAAAATCGAGACAAGCAATACAAGACGAGATTTTTGCTACCAATATTCACTCAAGATCAAGACAAGATTTAAATTTTTAAAAATTTTCAATACCAATACAATATTTTTACGAATATTGTCTTGTCTTGGGTCTTGTGCTAGTTAGTGAGTTGGTTGCTAATTTAGTCGAATGGAACGTTTAATCAGCGCAATCATGTTTCGCAGCTATCCATGATTCTCATCAAGGTAGCCGACATAAGTAACGAGGCGCGCCCGATGGAAGTCGCGGAACCCTGGCTGGACAGGTTACTCCAAGAGTTCTTCAAACAGAGCGACGCGGAGAAGCTCGAGGGTCTTCCGGTCACCCCATTCATGGATCGCGACAAGGTGACCAAACCGTCGTCCCAGGTTAGCTTCATCGGCCTAGTTCTTCTCCCCCTCTTCGAAGCCCTCGGTGAACTTCTTCCCGAGCTGCAGGTATTCCCTCTTGTACATGGATTAATTTATTTGCGCTTGCAATGAAATAGATCAGAGGCAATAATTCTGGCATAAACTCGTCAAATATTAATATCGGTTCTTTTTATGAAGAGAGATTTTTATGTATAATGAAACCTTGCATTTTAGGGTCTCATAGTTCAGCCGGTCAGGGAAGCTCTGGAGTACTATCGCAAATTGAACGAGGCTGCCAAAGACGAACGCCATCATCGAAAGAGCGTCATAGATGTTGGGGAATCGGGCATAGCGCACAGCGGTGGTACCGGTGGCTCCTCTGTCGTTATCAAATCCACGTCGTCGCATAGCATGCGTTCAAAGCGATCCGCCACGACGATTCATTCGCGTTCGCGTTCCACCGACGAGGATATCACGGAGAATTTGACGATGGAGGAGATGGAAAACGTCGAGAGCTCCGATCCGGAGACGGCCACGGAGGTGGAGATCAGCGAGAAGACGCTCAAGTTCAAGATCTCCACCGAAGGCACGTTGGCCGGTCCGACCTCCGGCCGCAAGAGTTGCCCTAGCAGCCGCAAGGGCAGTCGGGAGAAATCCTCGTTGGATTATCATAATCAAGATCTAATCAAGGCTGTCCGGGAACATGAGAGGAGACGCAGCAGGGGCGAAAATCTCGGTAGCGATCTCAGTTCGCCGGCCAGCGCGAGATCCACCGAAGGTGCTCGTATTCTCGAAGAAATTGAGAAGCAGGCAACGACATTTCTGGTTGCCAAGATCGAAGGCAGAGCGCCAGAGGGAAACGGTAATATCGTCGCGGTAGAGGCTCATTCACAACTGAGGAATAACATGAAGAAGACCGGCAACATTATCGAGAACGATCAGGAGATCCGATCTAGTCGTAAGGACAGCAGCCGAGAATCGATCAGTTTGCGATGCTGCTGCGACGAGAGAACCGAGCCGAATAATCACAGATCTTTGTTCTCACGGTTGAGAAACTTTACGGGTCGTCTGAGCAGCAGTTTTGATTCTAAGGATTCACCCAGTCCAAAACCAAAGCACGCGTCCAAGATGCTCACTAAGAGTAACTCGGTGAGCAGCGGTTCGGCCGCGACTTCGAGGAGACACAACAATTCTCTATTCATCTGCAAGCGTTGCAATCTTGTCAAAGACAGTGGCAAAGCCATCGCGACCGTGGTGGAGTTATCATCGGTGGATAAACGAGCGATGACTTTGCCCAAGGTTCGCAAATCTACGGATAGTAAGAACAAAAGCTGGCGGACGGTGTTCACCAAAGAAAAGAGATCGTCCACTTCTCTGGAGGCTTTGCCGGCAGCCGGCTCGTTTTCCAAGCATCGTAGAAACTTGTCAAATCCCGAAGGCAAGTCTCAGAGTATGAAGGAAGTGAAAAGATCTCGGCAGGGTCTGGACATCGAGTTCCAAGAGATCGACGTACGTCCGAAGAAGCAGCAGCAGCAGCAACCTGAAATCATAGTCAATCCCGACGACACCTCATGCGATATTGAAGAGGATCTTGGCAAGGTGGAGATTAGGAGAAGTTCGGCCAGCATGGAGGACATTTCTAAGATGGCGAAACAAGCGGAGGCAGTCATACTGGGTTCGCTGAATTCCAAGACGGAGGAACGCCCGCACACCGGCAGTTTGGACTCGATGCTCTGCAAAGAAGTGTCCAAGTCACGAAAGAAGCATTCCACCGTGTTTGCGTCGCCCGCCACGACCAAAAAATCCTCGCCCGGTCTATTCTCGCGATTCAAGTCCGGTATGAGCATCGATAGTACTCGTAGCAACAGCAACAGCGATTCTTTGCACGATCACGGCTCGCAAAGCGGCTGGATATCCTCGTTGACGGCCAGTTTTCGGCCAAAAAGACATCCGAATGAAACGCCGCTGTCGCCGCATCCACCGAGGTCGCCCAGCAGAGAAGAGATCAAGTGATACGTCCTGGTGGTCGAGGATCCCTCTGAGAAGAAACTCGGCCTTCGCGGCTGGTGGCCCGAAAACTTGTTTTGTTGCAACAGTTAGGGACTCGAACGAAAGAAGTTTGAGCCTAATTTAGACTCAGATGTATCCGGGAATATCTCTGTCGCATTCTAATACGAGAGAACCTAGTAAAATAATTGTGAAGAAAATTTTTCGAAGAGGTTTAATTTTTTAACACAGGAATCATCATATTTCTCATCGTGGTATTAATTATCGGTGACATTCAAATATATTTAAATAAATTCGAATATATTCAAATATATTTCGTGAAAAAGAAGAATGAATTCTCGCGATTAATTCGCGGGCAATGTAAAGAGAATAAAATCTATCTCGTGTAATTAAAAGCAGTCAATTTTGAACAAATGTATTTGCTCGAGCAAGCCAATTATCGAAGAATAAAAAAAAAATAAAACGTCACATATCTAATATATAATTTTTAATTAAATTGAAATTCTTTTATTGAATCTTTCTTGATGCGGAGGGATCCTCATATGACCATGATTTCATGCCATCGATCTTGAGTGTTTTATGTATACTACGACGCGAAGTCACGAGAGATACTTTATTTGCGAGGGATACCTACGGCCTGTGGAAAACAAGGATGTATGCTATTATACATAGACTATTTTATTTATTGTCCAATTAAAGAGTAGCCTAACAAATAAAATCATTAATGTTGTTCGTTACTATACATGCATACATACATATATAAATATACGCAGATGTATACAAAGACATAAGGATATAACGCATCTCCACCACGAGCAAGTGGATAGTTATAAGTAGGAAAAGAAGAAGAGACAAATAGATGTGTAAGCGTGGCTCTGTTGTATCGATGTGCGATTAAGTTTCGGGGACTGTATCAAGGATGTGAGATAAGAGAATCTTGTCAGACCATTTTTAGAATATTCTGAGAATAATCTTATTTTAAAGTAAGGCTCTTAAAAATTTTTAGATACTTTCTGAAAATTTCTTTTAATATTTGTCCCAAGATATTTTTCGAAATACGCGATTATTCTCGGATTATTTCGAGATATTGGATTTGAGAATCCTGGAATTTTCAATTTATTTACACTTTCCGGGAAAATTGTCATCTCGTACAACTAATAGTTGCCACGAAGGGAAAAAATGGAGAAGATTTATTAAGTTCTTCTCATTAATTTCTCGACATCTCAAAGAATACTAGAGAAGAATACTAGATTTGTTTCGCGAAATGTCTTTTATCTATTCTTGCTATTAAAACGTTATTCTATCTGGAAAATGATTTATTAAACTCGGATTAATTCGATTGAAGAAGAAAGATCTATTTGTGTGTGTGTGAAGTTTTTTGAATAGCTCGATAAAATATTCTTGCTATTTCTTCAAATATCGAGTCACAAAAAAAATACATAATAAAATCGATAATAGAAATATATATAATCGATCAATTTTCTTTTCAATTATCTATTGGATTTTATTCATCCCGCAATTATTTAGAAATTCAAATATGTAATTTAATTGCATGTGGATATACATATACACACACATAAGTAAATGCGTAAATATTTAATTTTCTATTATAAATATATTTTGTCTGCTTTACGAGAGAGACTTTTTTCCGTTCAACATTTCTTTAGATGCTTATATTTTTGTATTCTATCAGACAGAATTGCATCTATATGAGAATTAAAAATTACATGTATTGTTGAACTCTAGTCTTATGCTATTATTTTCAGATCAATCGAAAGTTGATTTTAAGGTGGTTTTACTTTGGACAAGTCTTCGCGAAATAAAAAGTCGATAATTGTGCGCACGAGCGAACGTTTACGTATACTTTATATATTGACGTATATTTATTTGACTGATTATTTGACTGAATTTAATATTTATCTCTCTTTTCGTGTAGAATCTGTCGTCAATTAAATCAAATAGAATCGTGCATGTGTATCGAAATGAATGAAAAGAATCAAGTCAAGCATAAGTCGTTTAAAACGTTAGTTCTAACAAAAAAAAGAAAAGATGAAAAATTGTGTTAATTTCATGATTTTTTACTCAATGAATTTCTGCCATTGGGACGTTAAATCGAATGATGGAATATGTATATATAAAATAGAATAATTATCTTTCAAATAAAATAAACCTCCTATGAAACTTTCCTCGAAATTGAGAATCGAATTAGTCTACCCTGGGAGAAAGTTATTAGAAAGAGGAAAGAAAAGATATTGAAAGAAAAAAAGATGAAACGAATAAAAAGGCGCGACTATATTTGCGGGCGAAAGAATAGTATGTGTAGAGCGACGCATATAATAATAATAATGATAAACGATCAAGTTCTCTCCTCGATGTGAATGAAAGAAGGCATTTGATTTTGACTCTTTTTTTTTCGAATTAGGACCACTGATTAATCATACAAGTCTCTTGTACTTAGAGATTTTCATCTTAATCAGATTTTACGCTGATGACGAATTCTAGAATAATTGCAAACTCTATAAACGATAATATTAACGAGAAGATGATTGAACTGCGATACATTTCTTATCGAATCGCGTAGATCAAACTTCGAATGGATCAAGGGTTTACTAGAAAACTTGTATCACGACCAAAAGATATTCCTAAGACTTGACACATCCTGGAGGAAATCAAATGCACTTTTTTCCTTTCGTATCGTTCACTCTCTGTGCCTGATTGTTATTAATGTTCAAGACTAATGTTGAAGAAAAGTATTCAAATGACTGATAATTTTATATCTTTTTTTATACAAGTTAAAATATATTTAACTTCTCAATTTTTATTTCAAAAATTCTACGCACAATAATGATAAAATTATTTATTAAAAGACAGTTGCTATTAAATTGAGATTTTTGCGATATAGAAATATGAAGAAATTAAATTAAATTATTTCAATTCTTAGTTTGACGAAATATATTATCATTATATGTGTATATATTTTTAAAAACTTTTGTCAAGCTTTCAGACTCTCAGAATATCAGTGTGTGAATACTTTTCGCCAAAACTAGTCGTATTTGTTTGCAATTTCTACCTTACTATCTCTTAACTCTATCAGAATCTTGATTAAAAGATGATCAATTTTCTACGGTCTTCGGAGAGTTTCGCGAGAGAAAAACCAGAAGATCTATTAAAAATATTTATTAAATATTCAAAGTTCCAAGCAGTTGCAAACGAAATAAAATTCGATTTGCAAGATCATCGAAATAATGATTTTCGTGGTCTAAGACCAGTAGATACATCCTACAATTACGTAATAAAAGAATAGATAAAAAAATAAATAAGTGAAATGAAGCGGAACACAAGAATTGGGCCAATCGAGCCGTAGCGTACGGCATCGTTTTACTCGTCAATTGAATCTTTAGTCTCATTAGAATTTTTCTCGTATTCCGATTATCGTCGTCAATTATTGGGATAAAATGCAACTCAATCAATATAATTAATTCCTGCCTCTCTCTCTTTCTCACGTTTAACATTGAAATAAGCGATCGATGTTAAAATCCATGCTTGATTTTATCTATTACGATGTCTTTTTATCGAAATACATGACAACTATGCTTATCCAAAGATATCCAATATCTAAAAATCACTTTAAAACTAATATTAACATTTATGAGAAAATATGAAAGAGAACTTATTTTGCTTCCTGAGGAAATGTATTTGTCTGCTCCCGTGTTTTCCTTATACATATATATATATATATATATATATATATATATATATATATATATATTCGATGAAAAAGAAGACGGCAGAGATAAGAAGTAAATTTGCGCTTTGCTACTTTATCTTCAAAATATATTTTTATAATATTTTGCAATTAATAAACGGCAAAATGAACCACTCCAAATAAAACGATTTGCCAAAAGGTCACATGAACGCCATATACAGGGTGTCCCAGACTTAACGAATCATTTTTTTATGTTATATTGATATGAATAGGAGAACATTACATTTTAACGCGCCGATTGGTAATCTTTAATCTTTTGTAGCGCCGAAACTACATCTTCCTCAACATTTTGGTATTAAGATTTTCGTCTCCAAATGATCTCAGGAATCTATCATTTACGGCCGATTCGTTAAGTCTGAGACACCCTGTATAATCGTGTTACACGATGTGTCATGTGAGATTTTTTTATTCGGATTCGAGCAATATCGAGTTTTCGATAATTAATATAATTAATATAATTATAAATAAAGTGTAATTGCCGTATGAGATGTTCCTGAAAGTTGCGTAAGCTTAAATTTTGATGCACTTAGATAGAACCCACGGCTACAAAGCTACGTTAATATGTACTGCTCTAACATCATTCAATTGCGACTATTATTATTGTTTGAAACAAATTGCTTGCATATCGAACAGCGATCGCGAATTCTATAAAAAAAATTTCTCGATAAACTCGTACAAATTGGATCATCATTGGGGTGATTTCGCGTTTATAAAATCCGTTCTCTCCGTCTCTCGCCGTCCCTCTCTATCTCTTACGAGTCGTTAAATGAAAATATCGTTGATTGCCAAGCGAGGAAGGAAAAGGAAGTCAATGAGACGTTTGCGTCGATTGTCGTTAGACGAATATTAATTAAACGAAATTTGTTGGTTTAGTAAATCAATTTTGCGTGCATGCGTAATGTCTCGTATATACGTACAGATATACGCAGAATGTATTGTATATACATATCTGTATTTATATACGTGTAAGATTGTGCGAAAATGAGAAATGGATCATCCTGTACATATAGTTATTTGTATGTGTATATGTGTATGTACATACATACATGTATATCATATGCACACGTACATATATATATAAATGCAAACAAGTATAATTATGTAAGTAAAAAAATTAATGAAATATATATTTACCTGATATATATGCAAGAGGATGAATAAAGATATAGTTAATGCTCGCGGGCGAGTTACTAGCGCGATGTTATAATAATATTATCGATATTATGATATTACACGATGTATCGGAGAGATAACGTGTGCATAATTATGTGTGCAAAGAGATATTTCGCGTGTGGAAGTTTCACTGCGAGAGGTATATTAATTTTTCTTGCTGTTCAGTGACGGCGTATTTATTTTCGCCCCGATCGTCGGGGATATTTATTTCGCAGCTGACACGAAAGCAGGTTCAACTCCAATCCTACTCGACTAGAAGACATTTACGTCGCGATCAGAATAACTCGATTTAACGTCGTCTTTTCCGATATTTTAAGTAGAATAATAGATAATACACGAGAAATCTCGATATTTTTGCGTCTTCCTGATAATTCGTGTTTCGTGTTCTTTACTGTTGCTCTCGTTTTTATTTTTTACCTAAGCAATGATGTAAAACAAATTGTATTTTAAAATAAAACACCTAATTTTCGTAATAAAACTGTGGATATTTTTTATTTGCTTTTCTATTTAATTTGCTTTTTTATTTAATAATCTTGCTCTATTCACACTCTTTTGGTATATTTTAACCGTGTAAAATTCTGTTGGTTATTTTATAACATTTAATATAATGCTATTCTGATCGCAAACGCGTCGATCGATGAGAAGGGAAATACAAATTAACCCTTTCAGCTCTGTTAGAGACTAGATTTTCGCATGTAAGCTTTTCGATCTTATCGAGTTATGTATACATATAACAGGCATTATGAGATAGGATCAAAGGTGAAATGAAATGTGAAAAAAAAAAAATATCAGAGCTGCTATTATGTATACGATCATCACGACGCACGTGCTACACAAATTGCAGTTGTAACGCAAAGAAGTCACCGTCACTGAATATAAACGTGCGAGAAAGTATGTGTGCATGTGTGTGCGCGCGTGTGTATATGTGTGTACCACACATATAGGATGCTATCGATATATGGTACCTATCATTCCATTCGATTCCAAAATGTTGTAGTTATATATATATATATATATATATATTATAGATATATAATTTTAAATAATCCATACGCGTGATTGATCGCCCAGCAAGTAGCTCGCGCGTATGATCGATCATTAGTCTTTTTGTAAATGAGAGCGAATGTTATATATATGTTATATATATGTGTATGTGTATATATATATATATATATATATATATATATATATATATGTATATGTATATAAAAGTGTATGTATATGTGTGAGAGTGTATCATTGCATCAACATGTGACCGGTTGCTCGTGGCTGCCTCCTATATTATATTTACAATGTCGACGAATAAAGGAAAAACGATTATTCTGCCGAAGATGCAGAAATATTTGAGTAAAACCCCCTCCTGTGCATTTGCACGATCGCAGCAATAGATTATCAAAATTTATTGCTTTTAAAATCGGAATCGATAAAATCACGATTCTGAATTAGTCCATTTAAAGTTACTTCATCCTCCTACGAAATTTTAATATATATTGTGAAATAACATTCATGATTTTTTATACTATTAAAATTTATTTCTCAACATGACAGATTTACAGATCGATCTGATAATTGATAAAATTGTTTTTTATTTTGCAAATTTTTTAATTATCATGAGTTACATTTTTGCATATCGAGATATTTTACGCCCCCTGATCTGTGTAAAATAAATAATGACAATGTCATGGATGTTAATTGAGCATTAATGTTTTTTGACATGATGTTTTTTGACTTTCTCAAGATTTTAGTAAATCAGTTTTATCTTTAAAAATTCGGAATGAGTTTTTGCGAGTTACATAATATCAGAATTTAATATAACTTGTCATATTTAATGCGCGAAGAAAATAAAGGATATATATTATTTTAACGCATGCAAATTATTTGTAACTTTCATTACATTATTTTTTAATTTTATAGTCGTTCTAAAGCAGCACAATATTTAACTGGTTTATAATCTGGACTAATATTTTTTTCTTAGATGCTTAATGGAGTACTCAAGAATTTTTTTGACATTATGCTTTGTGTTAATTTTTATTTCTGTTCTCCACATACGAAGAACAAAATAAATAAAACATGTGGAGAAATATGTGGAGAACAGAATGTAGAAGGAATATGGAGAAGAAATTAGAAGAATTTATATCCTCTTTAATATATTCTTTTAGATACAACATTATAAATTCATTCTTATAAAAAGTCTAATAATTAATAGTTTATAATTTAAATAATTTATAATTTAAATAAATTATTATAGTTATTATTATTATTAATAGTTTATAATTTAAATAATTTATAAATTAAATAATTTAAAAAAACGTCATTTAAAAAGATTCAAATACTTTATAAAAAGATTAAGATTCTTTCATAAATGCTTTCTGTATAAAAAATCTAACTTTGCAAAAGACCAGTATATAATAATTTATTTAAATTTACATCTTCGCTAATTTAGTTATATACATCCTAATTGTATATATATTGAATGCCCAGTTGAATTTTAATTTATATTGATTGCTATAAGCGATATGTCTAAATGACACATTTTAGAGTCATATCTTTTTCAGTTTGTTAATCTCAACTTCTTATAAATTTACAGAAAGAATTCCTTAAGAAAGATAAATAACCACGATCCTTTATGCGTATTGAATTTTTTTTTTATCTTTATGATAAATATATACTTCTAAAATATAATTAATATTTAAAATATATATATATAAAAAATCAGTGAATAAAAAAATATAATAATTTCAGATGTAAATAATTGTTGAGATGAAAACGAAAAATTATGTATGGAGATCCTTTTTTGCATATTATGTTTCACAATACGATAAATCGATTGTAGGAAATTTTAATTAAAATTAATATATGTAAAAAAAATTAATGTACTGTTACATTAATTAAAATTACCTTTCACTAGTTTTCACTTTTAGCGCCGATTTGATATTTCTTTAATCAATGATCGATGATGATATAACATGATAATTTATTGTAGTAAATATAAAATAATTTAGTGATATACGCTTAAGCAAGCTTAAACATGCATAATTCTTATATAATAACTATTAACTATTAACTATAACTATTAACTATATAATAACTATTAACTTATATAATAACTCTTAGAGCACATTATCTTACATTAAAAACAATCGTACGGTCGCGTAAAGTTTAAAAAATATAAATATAAAATGTGTAAAAATGCAAAATATACACAGTAATATATTAGTATCATCGGTTATTTTTAAGTTACGTTACTTATAATTCTTCGAGGTTAATTTTTCGTATGTTGAGATATATTACTTTTCCTAATGGCATTGTCAAAATTGCAGTGGGATCAAGTTTCATAGGTATCAAAGTCTTTTCGCATGGTGCCACTTCAAATTTGCTCAAGATCTTTACTAATGCTAGTTTCATCTCCAAAAATGCCATACGAATACCTGCGAAATAACCGTATAATAATCATATTTAATAAAAAAGAATAAATATATATAAGATGTCTTATCACATGAGTGTTAACAATACATTCTATGATCAATTATAGTCGATTTTTGCAGGAATCAAAATTTATAAGTAATTGACAATAAAATATGAAAGCATTTTTATAAATTAAGATTCAGAGAGATAAATAGATAACAAAATCATATTTTTCAATTATAATTAAACTTTACATTTTTTAAATATAATGTTTAATTATGAAATATTAAATTATACAGTAATTATATATTAAAGTAATGGATCAAAATAAATACATGATTGAAAATGACAACTTTCTTAAATATTTTCATAAAAAATGACTCTGAATTAACGAAAGAACGAATCGCTAAGGATTGTTAATAATCGCGTCAATAATTGTATATTATCACTCTAATTGAATTTTTTGTTATTCGTATAAGTTTTGTGTTTCGTTAGTTTTTATGTAATTATACAAAAATATAATTCTAGCTGAGCTCTTATAATTCGGTATTTTATTGATTAAACTTGATATCACAGTTAATTAAATGGAAAAAAGGAGTAGTCTTATTTAATTTATCTTATTTAATGCTCGTTTGTTTCACAATCGAATCTATCTTTTATGTTTGATCGATCAATTAGGATAAAAAATTGCTTTAAAGCTTTTGTAATTTTCGTCATAAATCTTAAAATGTATATAAGTTTGTGCATTTATGGAATATGTAGCTTCGTTTCGATTTATTCTATGTTAGACATGACATAATATATTAATCTTTAAATTAATTTTCTTACCTATACACCCATGTGGACCTTCTCCAAATGGAAGATGAACGAATGACGGTCTGTTACGTTTATTCTCCTCGTTGAATCGCTCCGGATCGAATTTATTCGGATCGGGAAAGTATTGCGGATCGTAATGCAAACCGCGTACGGAAATGAAAATCGGTGTACCTTTTTCAATTACGAGATCGGAGTTCGGCACTTTATAAGTCTTGGTGGTGACACGTTGTAGATATTCTATTGGCGGGTATATTCTCATAACTTCAAAGAGCACCATATCAAGACACGATAAGGACATGATCTAAACATAACAAAAATAATAGATCGAAAAAATAAATATCATTCTTATATATATGTATTTCAGTTATACTTTTCAAGAGATTCGATTGAGAGTAAAAAAATATCCTAATTATTTGCGCACCATTTCGTATGTAATATTTCCATCAGATTTAGCGAGTTCCTGAATAATTTCTTCCCTTAATATGTTCTGTATTTCAGGATGTAATGCGAGTTCGTATAATGTGAAAGATATTGTTGTCGCGGTAGTTTCATAAGCAGCCGCAAAGAAAACTGCTGCTTGTGCTAGTAGATCGTCTCCATCAAACTCTGAAATTAAATTTATTAAAGTTTTATAAAGGTTTGATTGTTTTGATTAATATTAATTTTAATCATTCAAATACATTGAATAATCTAGTTTTCTTAATATCTTGCTAAATGAATTTAATTTCAAAGCATTTTTGCAAAACTTGTGTAGTTGTCATCATTATTTATCGCATTGTGCTTACTAAAGTCTTTGATATTTTCATCATGATTTCTCTTCAAATCGATAAGGATATCGAGGAGATCGTTTCTTATTTCGCCGGATTTTTCGCGTTGAATGATCATCTCCCAGAAAACTTTACGCAGGAATGCATCGGTCTGTTTGCCGAGCACCGTCATGCCAGTTAAGCGACATAAAATTGGAATAAAAGATATTACGATTAACTCAAAACTACGATCAGTGTCGAACATCATAACACCGTGTTTCCGAAACTCGGCATTCGGATCCTTGAAAGAGTTCATGTCGAGTCCGAAAGCGGTGCTGCCAATCACATCAGTGGTAAATTTGGTGGCCAATTCTTTTACGTCTATTATCTTTCCCTTATCTGTCAACAATATCATCATGTGTCAATTTAACTATGTTGTATCTTTAAAAAAAAGAGATCAATTAAATCAAGTTAATGATCTAATTTACTTTACTTAAAATCAGGTCATGAAGAAATAATAATTTTCGAATTTAAAATTTTAAAATTATACATAATTTTTTTTAATTAAAAAAATATTAAGAAAAAAATATGAATTTGCAATGAACAACTACATATTTTCTTCTTAAAACAATTATTTGTTTTCTTTACATTAATTGATTCCTTATTATTTTGTGTACAAAAATATTGATATAAGAAAATAAAAAAATTAATACTTTTACGAGATATTTCATAATTTATGTAAAATTCCAAATGTCAAATTAAAATAAAATATTTCATAAACTATTCAATTTTTTACTATTCTACTTTTATAACTTTTTACGTCAAATGTTGCGAGGAATTGATTTATATAAATAAATTAGGATAATTCGATTTTTAAAAAATGAAAATGATTTTTAAAATTGTTAGTCTCCTAAGAAAATACTAAGACAATCAAAACATAATTCTTTCAAAATTATTTAATTTTTGTCTGAAATATGTTTGTATAAATTTATTTAACTATTTTTATATAAAAATCAATACATGAATAGAAATTTTGATCCGGCAGCCTTAATATTGATCAGGTAGCTTTCAGATTACGGTACGTCACATCGTATTACAGTTCCCCTGATCAGATACTTATGCTAACCTGATACATCGCCATACGGTAATCATGATTGATAGGTGGTATTAAACATTTTTTTAAATAATATTTTATCCTTTTTTTAAAATATTTTCGATGTCTGGAACAGTTAAGACGGCAGGATCAATCTCTGAACTAGTGGTCAAGCTACGACTCAATAGCCTGATCGCAATCCGAAATGCTAAATCAAGTAAATAAAAAAACGTTACATAATTCATTTGGCCTTGCTTTGGCAGCCGAAAATAGTGCCGAGCCAATGGCAGATTTAAATTTATACTCGGGATATTTAAGATATGAAGATATTTTGGGCAATCAATATTTATGAAGGCAATTTGTGGCTCACTTTGTATAAACAATAACACTATGTGTGCAATATAGAAAATTTATTTGTTTGTTAATTATTTGTTTTCATGGACATAGACTTTTATTTTGACTTTAAAGTTGACCTTGATTTTTACAGAATGATTATTTATCTTCAATAATCAGCATTCTTAATCTTAAAAGGCAGTCATCTTTAATTAAGAAATCAATAAAATATGAAAATAATATTTTGATAATTTGTTAAAATAATATTTTATGTTTGAAAATGTTGTTATGAAAATAATATTTTAATAATTTTTGCATATCATCCGGCACTTTTGAAGTAAATTAATTGAAGTTGCTTATTTTTTTTTCGCGCGAGGTGAGATAAGCCCATATTATATAATGTTACCAGGTTTAAAAAAGAAAGAAAAAATAAATAGATAAAAAGAAGAAATAAATAAATAATGAAAAGGAGGAAAACCTTAAGCACCGTACAATATGAAATGGATTTTGTTTCCTACAATTATAGATTCCGTTTTGCAAGAAAAACATCAAATAAATATAGAATAAACTGGTTCATATAAAAATGCAACGTATACAAATTACTAGAAAATATTTTATATTTTATGACATATAAATTTCTCAAGAATATCTAATCGCCACTTAAGATGGAGATGAATGATCTTTATAAAGATTTATCTTTATAGAAAGATTTATCTTTATTCAAAATTAAGAGATGAAAATGATCCAAGTTAAAATGAGAATTATTTAGATTGTTAATAAATTGTACATAATTTTATATAGCAATTTTTATTTAAAGAGATGCTTTATATCTTTTTTTCTCGATATTTTGTGCATTCCATAAATCATTCACTTACCTTCCAAATTCTGCAAATCCAAATAGTCGGATAAATTCTTGGCGCATTCCTTTATCAAATCTACCATCTTCTTCAGTTTACGGGGAGTAAAAAACGGTGTCATTTTCAATCTCAGCATTTTCCACACTGGATTTTTTACGAAGAAGAGATTTGCGTAACCTAGACGGTCCTTCTTATCCGGCGTGAAATATCGATCGGAAAAATGATCAAAGTCCTTCACTAGGATGTTCTTGACGAGTTTGTGATCGCGAATCAATAAGAAGGGCTTATCAAAAACAAAGAAGCCTACATAGGGTTGCCCTACTGCTTCGTCATAAAATTCTTTTAGTAGCTGTCCTGTTGATTTTTTCATAAATATACATTCCACAAAACTCCCCAAGAAAGGTATTGGTGGTATTTCCGAAACACCGCGCTTTTTCCAATATTTGAACTTGCGCGTCATGTAAAAGTAGAAGACTATGATGAAAACTATCAAGCCATTCAAACCCCAGTAAGGCATTATAAACATCATTTTACACAACTTGTAGATCTGTAAAAATATTCCTCTTGTTTGAAAAATAGAAGATATCAATAAATATATAGAGCAACCTCTTTTTAAATAAAGTGGAATAATTTTAAGAATTATTGCATAAAATTATATGGGAAAATGTCTACAAGTCAATGATTTCTAGGAGAGAAGAGAAACTCTCAAATTTCTCTCAATTTCTAGACTGAGCAAAAAGGTTTAGTTATATTTTTTCGTTAATATATATATATTTTATCTCTACATCAAAGTGTATAACAAAAAAAGGGTGAAAGACTCAGATTTCTCAGATAAATGACAGTAACATTTCTAATTTTGTTATTACACTTGTCATAGTATTGCTACTTTATTAACATACTTTATTAACATCTATAATAATTTTCCTCCAAGTCTAGTGCGAAAGATTTTATTAGCTACTTATGTTTTACTGATTATCTCGAATACATGCACTACAAATTCGTAAATTTTCTTCAAAAATATAATTTTAAAAGAAGATTGCACTATAAGATTACACTAAGAAAGTCATAAGTCTCATTATTACTTTTACTCATAACGACGTAACATAATTTAAAGATATGACTTTGAAGTCTTTGAACTCGCGTTATCACTATAAATAATATAAGAATATAATAGATTCGTAATCGTTATTAATAAAGTACTTCAAATTAATTTCACAAATTAAACTTGATTTAGTTTGGCTTTTTTGATTTCTCTGGCTTAATAATGTATGTAACACATGCTTTTAATCTCCACATACTATTGAGAGGTATAAGAAATTGGTCTTTTATAGTCGATTCTCCCCACTTGTTTTACTAAGATAATATAGTGTCGTATATAAAAATAGCTACGCTGCTAATATTCCATTCAAATATTCATGTCGTATTCCATTTGACATTTTGCCTGATTCCCAATAATATATTCCCAATGATTATCTATGATCTATAGCATTGAAATTTAATGATAAACCGTCACATACAGCTTTTCTCGAATTTAGTATTTTTTATTATATTTAATAAGATCCATTATTTTTTTTCATGTAATCTTAATAAAATTTGAAAATACCAATTTATATTGTAGTTTCATACACATTTTTTATTTGTGATTTTTTTTGACGGCAGGATTTTCGGATGCCGTTAAAAGTTTTTATCTTCTTTTGAAAGAGAATAGTATAAAGTTTGCGATGTATTTCAATTGTGTACACTTGTGTACAAGGAAAGGAAGTGGCATGGAAGTGTCCCCCTTCGATTTTGAGTTTTTAATATGTTGTTTTCTAGACAAAAATAAGGGACACGTATTTTTTTATGTGCCCATATGCGTATCTAGGGGGTAAAACACCTCTTTGAAAAAATCGAGTTTTTCCTTTTGAGATGAATATTTCAGAGGTTATAAGAGATAGAAGAAAATTTTTAAATCAAAAGTTAAATGGCTTTAAGAGTACTTTACAATAATAACAAAAAAAATTTATTTTTTTAATTTTTCAAAATACTCCCACCACTAAATATATTTTTTTTTAATTTTGAAATTTCTTTATTACAAAGTGAAAGGTTTTTTACGAATCCAAGTATATATGATTAAGTTATGTTTAGAAAAGTGATTTTCCAGAATTAATTATAAACCTCTCCATAACACGTTAATCGTGTCCGTCCATGCGTCCGATTTTTCGCACAACACATCTTGTGTTTTCATAACAGAAGATTACATACACTGTATATATTTATCTATGTAGGCTGGGTTCCACTTAATGATCGCAACGCTCGCAGAATCATCTTATCCTTGTTGTTCGCTAAAAGTTAAACAAAGACACATCATGTTTACAAGTGCCGAACGCAGTCATAACATTAAATCCTTGAATACTACAAGATAAAATAAAAGAATGTAATTTAAATCAATGACATTGGCACTTTATTGGTTGGTAATGTATTACAACCGATTACATAATCATATATTTAATATTGTCCATGACTACTGTGGCGTGACCTTTATCAGCCTTAGTAAGAAATAAATCATCATAATCACGCAAAAACTTCTTACAGAGAGAGAAAATCGCTTGAGAATATATCTATCCACAAAGTTGACATGCTTACTTTGACAAAGAAATCTTTATAGAGAATTAGCGACTAATGAGATTAGCGATTAATGAGATTTTTACGATTAAAATGACACCACACATGACAAATAGGATTATTTTTAATTAATATATATGGTTAATCTAGTTAAAAATAATCCGATTTATGTCGTGCTTAATGTTATTTTAATCGCAAATATCTTATTAATCCAATAAAATTATTTTTCAAATCAATAAAATATGACATATATATAAAGGTGATCCGGTTTAGAAAGAATGTCCCATATATATACATATATATTATATATTTGTCATATTTTATTGATACATATACATATACATATATAAGTGTGTTTTATAAAACGACCGTATGTTCGTACTAGATCCATTAATTATTGTGAATCTCACAATCAATAGAGTACGAAATATTATTGCGTATGATCTTTTTTCATTTTGATAGTATTTATTATTGGAGTAATATACACATATTTATTTTATTAAAATACTTTTATTGAAATTACTAAAACATTTTTTATGTGAAATAAAATAAAAGTATTTTAATTCTATATTATATATATACAGGGTGTCCCAAAACTCATAATCAATCTTTCAAAGACAGATTCCTGGGATCATCTGAAGACTATTTTTCCTCAACGAAAATGTCGAGGCACTAATAATTTTCGATAATTAAAGAATTATAAGTGATTGAAAATAAGGTGTTTTTCGTAAACTAAGCTTTGCAGAAATAAAATATTAAGAAAACCATATTCTTCGTTTAATTTTAAATAGAGTTTACTTTAGTTGAGTTTTAATTTAAGGCTTAATTGCAAAGATATATGATGACAAAAATTGGGAACATGCAAAAAATGATGGCCTTTATCGACATTTTCGCTGAGGAAAAATTGTCTCGAAATGATCCCAGGAATCTGTCTTTGAAAGATTGATTATGTGTTTTGGGACATCCTATATACACACACACACACACACACACACACACACACACACACGCACGCACACACACACACACACGCACGCACACGCACACGCACACGCACACGCACACGCACACGCACACGCACACGCACACGCACACGCACACGCACACGCACACGCACACGCACACGCACACGCACACGCACACGCACACGCACACGCACACGCACACGCACACGCACACGCACACGCACACGCACACGCACACGCACACGCACACACACACGCACACACACACGTATATATTACTTCATAATATATGCTAAAGTAAAAAAAGAAGAAAGACGCGCAGTTAATAATATGTAATAAAACATTAATAAATGTATGATATGTTTCGTACTTTTGAGATCCACAATTATGGATCTAGCACGGACTTGAACCAATCAGTCGTTTTACCGTGGAATTGGAAAGTGGATCCAGCCACGTAGTTCCGCCGGCCGTAAAATGGATCCAGTTAACGCCACTGTACGACGAGGAAAAAGCGTTCCCTGAAAAATGGCTGCATGACCACTCTCAGGCTTCTCTCTAGCGCAACTTAAAATAATGAAAGAAAATAATAACCGAAAATGTGAAAAAGCAAATACATAAAAGAAAATAGCTGATAATTAAATTGCTCTATCGCAACACTATTATTAAAAGTTTAATGTTCTGCCTCGTTCCAATCGCAGAGTGATTGCACCCACGAATGCTAACTGCAATTAGACGGACAATAAATGGTTAAAATGCGGCTATCATCGAAAGCCGCGGATGACACTTGCGTTCGCAATCGATGTCGCATGTTAAAGAATTTCAAATTAACACAATACTTATTATGAACGTACCGCTTTAGTGCACTTTACTGTAACGCTTTCCACTAAATCTGTTTACCGTCTATCGAACTTGCACTCGACGATCGTTCATTGAATCGAAAAAAAGACTCCTTTAAGAAATCGTGGTTTGAAATTAATTTCTTTGCGTTTAATAGTACGCGGAAATAAGATCTAATGACCGTTCGCAGGAAAAGAAAAAAGATCGAGAGCGTCTTCGTGAAGAGGGGGTGAGATACGAGTTGGGCGATACCTTGCTTTTCAGTAGTCTCGCCCAGGCTCGTGACAGACAAGTATGAAGCAAGACGATTACGCGGTTACATGAAATTATACGGAAAACAGATTTTCATTCTTACGTGTTAGCACAAGCAAAGAAAAAAACATAAATTTTCTTGCGAACTTAAACACTATACAATAATCATAATAACATAGAAACTTGTAAAATTTTAATTGTTTATTTCTAATTAATCGAAAAAAAACATTAAATATAAAATTTAAAAGTTATTTGAAAATATACTTGCTATATCTCGAAAATAACAGATATATAAACATCATGTTTATTAATTTTAAGTAAATATCATAATCTGAAATTTTCAAAAAGTCATATAATTTATTTAAAAATTTTAATTTTATTAACAAATAAATGTGCATGCAAAGCGAGGTTAACATAAATAAACATAAATTGGCAATAAAAAATTTAATAGCGAATATAGTTTATATATTATTATATATAAGATCATGTTTTTTTCACATTATTTTTATTAACTTACCATCGCCGAAAAATGTTTTCAAAAGTTTTATAATTTTAGGATGAAAAATATCATGTGTATATATGATTTCTGATAACAATGCATTTTTTATGCATTACTCTTATTCGGCAAAAAGTACCGCAAAAGTAATTACAATTTTTCATTAAGATGTCTTCGATTTACGAGTTATCAGAATCAAGTGGAGTTAATCAATTATTGTCAGAAACATTCTCTCATAATTCTATATCTCCTTTAGGACATTTTGATAACTTCTTTAAAAATATATTCGTGAAATTGCTTAAGAAAGATGTTACAATTTTTTCTCCAGTATAAAATATCTCACTTTATCCAATATTTGAATTTGCGAGTCATGCAAAGATAACAAAGAAGATGGAGTAAAATTATTATGTTCTTTAAATTCTAGTAATGTATTATAAATAGCATTTTATAATTAATCTATAAAAAATCTTTTCCTTACACTTATTTAAATAGATCTTGTTAATGAATATTTAAGAATTTTTTGATTATTGTTTACAAAATAATTCTACGTTTGATATTTTTCTGAGGAATTGCGGAAAATTTATAACACATAAATTTACGTATTTTACAAATATATATATATATATATATATATATATATGTTTTTACGTTTACTTATTAAATTAACTACACACTAAACATCATCTCAATAGACGAGTTGATGCAAGAAAGATCATCCATAGTACAATCGACGCGAAGTCATTCTTTTGCATGATAATGCTCGACCACATGCTGCGAAAAGCGTGAAACAGATACTTCTAGAGCTTGAATGGGAAGTCCTATCGCATCCAACGTACTCTCCAGACTTGGCACCATCGGATTGCTATCTCTTCCGGTCGATGCAACACACGCACTTACGGACACACACTTCTCCAGTTACGAAAAAGTCCAAAAATGGGTGGATGAATGATGAAAGATGGGAAAAAGTAATAGAAAATAGAGGAAATTACTTTGATTATTTTTTTTATTCATCTTCCCTTCGAAACAAATCAATTTTAGAGACGAAAGATCGGCACGAATTAAGTTTACCACCTAGTATCAAAATGAAATTATTAAAAATTTTACATTACATGCGCAATACATTTAATGATTTATCTTTATACATTTTTTAACAAAAATACTTACTGTAAGTATTTTCCATGAGTTAAAATAATATAATACACACTGCTATAATACATATTATGTTTTAAAGAGCGCTAGATTTAATTTTGCGGAAGTTGAGATATATTACGCCGTTTAAAGGCACTGTCATGGCACCCCTTGGATCAATTACCACTGGTATTGAGGTTTTCTCGCATGGTCTCACTTCGCATTTACTCAAGATTATGATGAGCGCTAATTTTATCTGTAAAAGTCCTAAACGAGTGCCTGCAAAAGTACATATAAATTATATTTGTAATTATATTATATTACAATAAAAAATAAAAACACAAAATAAAAACACAAAAATAAAAATTATATATTATTATACACATTATAGACTTATCATACACAACGGAATTATCATATACAAATATAATGAAAATTATTCGCAATTTTGTTATATTAATTTGCACTTTTAAAATATAAAGCTATAAATTTGAGAATTATGAAATTTATTAGATTATGAAATAGATAATAATATTATATTATTTAATAATCTCAATATTAAATACATAATTTATCTTTCTTTCAAAACCTGCAGATTTTTATTTATTTCGAATTTGTGTAATCTACTACACTTTTACGAAAGAAAAGTTAATGTTTCTTCGTACGTCTTTAAAATATGTGATTTTATAAACTAAATAAAACATTTATAACTAAATATAACATTTATAATATTTATATGAAAATGTAAATTTGTCTATGAAATTTACAACCTCAGTATATGATTTTGTTATTTTCCATATCATATAAATATCTTTTCATACCAAAATTGATTTTCTCACCTATGCAATTATGTGGACCTTCTCCGAAGGGGAAGTAAACGCATGCTGGTCTATTACGTTTATTTTCCTCATTGAATCGCTCCGGATCGAACTTATCCGGATTGGGAAAATATTCCGGATCATAATGTAGACCGAGCATTGGGATGTATACCGGTGTACCCTTTTCAATTACAAAATCGGAGTTCGGCACTTTATAAGCTTCATTTGGCATACGATTTATATATCCCAATGGCGGATACATTCTCAAAGTTTCGGAGACCACCATATCCAGATATGTTAACGACATAGTCTAATAATAAAATAAAATGTCGTCTCATAATATATTATATACATATATATATATATATATATATATATATATATATATATATATACATATCAATTTTAAATGAAAATTTGATCAAAATTAAATACAAATTTTAAATAAAAATTGCTCTGGCAATGATATCAATACTTGCGTGACACATGTTTATTTTAATAACTTTTCGATAGTAACTGTAATATTCATGTACCAAATCGTATGTGATTTTTCCACCAGACTTGTCGAGAGCCTCGACAATTTCTTTTCTCAGAGTATTTTGAAGATCAGGTTGCAATGCAAGCTCGTACATTGCGAACGCTGTTGCCGTTGAAGAGGTCTCGAAACCGGCGGTGAAAAAGCTGGCTGCTTGCGCCAGAAGATTATCCCCATCAAATTCTAAAATTCAACTTATGTAGACTTTTAAAGACGCTTATTATATTAATTTTAATTATCGAAATTATTGTTCTTATAGTTCAGTTAATTTAATAAGTTAATTTAATAACATTAGTACTTCCCTTAGCGTTATCTCTCTATTTATTTATTTTAGAAATAAAAATAAATTTTTAAAATAACCATTATTTATTTCTGTGTTGCTTACTGAATCCGTAATAATCTTGATCACCGTTAGTCTTTTTTAGTTCGAGAAGAATGTCAATAAGATCATTCCTCTTGATGCCAGATTCCATACGATGATTGAGCGTCTCCCAAAAAACTTTGCGCAAAAAGCTGGTAGGTTCTTTGCCAAATACTTTTATTTGAGCCAAACGCATTATAGTTGGAAGGAAAAATACCGCGAGCATCTCCAAGCCGCGAATGGTGTCGTATTGAAAGATCATTTTGCCATATTTGCGGAACTCAGCGTTTGAATCATTAAATGAATTCACATCAAGTCCATAAGCGGTGCTGCCGATGACGTCCGTGGTAAACTTGGCAGTTAATTCTCTCACTTCGATCGTTTCTCCTTCACCTGTCACCAATATTTTATTAATTGATTTAATCTATCTAACAGTAAATATCTTACACAAGTTATTTTGAAATTTTAAAATCTATTTCACGCGTATCTGTGAAATTGAGAACTGAACTTCTTTATAATTTCAAATTTCTGAAATACATATTTCTCAATATATTTTGCATTTTACATATGAATATTTACCTTCTTTCAACGATTCGATATACGAGCTCAGATGGTTTCCACAATTTAACATCAGTTCAAACATTTTTTTTAGTTTGCCAGATGTGAAGAATGGCGTTAATTTCATCCTTAACATCTTCCATACTGGATTCCTTATAAAAAAGAGATTGTTGCAACCCAGCTGGTCATCCGGATAAGCAATATTGTATCGGTCGTAAAAGATATTAAAGTCCTTTATTAAGATATTCTTGATGAGTTCCCGATCACGAACCAACAAAAAGGGCTTGTCTAAAACGTAGAAGCCAATGTAAGGTAGCCCCTTTGCTTGATCATATAACTCCTTTAAAAAATACGCCGGCGCTTTTTTCAATAACAGGCATTCCGTAAAATTGCCTAGGAAAGGCGTCGGTGGAAAGATTTCTTCGATGCCCCGTTTTTTCCAGTATTTAAACTTGCGTGTCATGTAGAGATAAACGGTTACCATGAGAGTCGTTAAAACTATGATGACGTCCAAACCCCAGTAAGCAGTTATGAGTGCCATTTTGGTTTATCTATAAAAAATATATTTTTATATAGAAGTAGACGGTATTATATTTTAATAACATATATCGCAAAATAAAATAATATTTATTTAATTGTATTTATTAAGTACATTTATTATTTATATTAGAACAAGATCTTGAAGGATTGAAAAAATAAAACTTGATTGATTGATAAATGAATGAAGTACATATCGATCTTAGATAATTCTCATATATTTAATGCGATATCATCCTGAGAATAACATTGTATTAATTTTAAACATGCCGACAATATAGATTTTTTTAAACAAAGTTTCCCATTTTTATTGCATATATATTTTTCGAAATAAAATCTACAATAAAATCTTTTTTCATTTTTCGATTACAAATTTACAGTATTTCTGATATTGAAGAAGCTTGGATGATATCTCATCTTCCTTTTCTTTCTTATTCTCATTTATGATGATTTAATGTTTTGTTACTCTAAAATATTACTTTGTCACTTAATAAAATCAAAATTTTGTTCGAAAACTCATCAGGAAAATTTAAATATCATACTCATTGATCTCCAAAATAGTACCTATAAAATTTGGTTTAAAAACAATAATTGTTAAGAAAAGGATATTTTTATAAAATGTAATTGGGGAAGTATTGTAATATAAACCGTATATCATTTTTTAATACTCTTCCGCAAGCTTCACGTACTCATATTTTACACTCAAGGAATTGACTCATATTTTCTAGACGGACTTCATTACATAAAGCACTGGAAAAAAACTTGATTGATTGATAAATGAATAAAGTACTCCCTAAATTTCTGAGAATTAGGGCTAACTTTAAACGAGTGAATATTCACTTCAAATGATAGTGAAAATACTGCAACTCGTCATAGCCATATAAATATATTTAACGTTACACACAAAAAAATATGTTTTGAAAATATGTTGAAATAAATAAATATATCCCTAAAAAGTCATTTTAATATTTCTTGTATTATATACTAAATACACGTGCAATGAATTGGTAACGTGAAACAACGATACGACAGAAACACAAAATCAATCTTCTTCATTTATCATTACATCCGAAGACTTGTTGATGGATTATTTAAGAAAATTTTCCGATCTTTTTTGTGTTCGTTTTCATTAAATCGCGTGGTAGTATGATTTAAGAAATTTTTGAACGTTTCATAAAATGTTTAATTTAATCTCAAAATGAATCTGAATGAACTTCATAAAAAATGCAAAAGTAATAGAAAGTATTTAAGATTAAATATAGAAGAAAATATTCATTATCATTAAATGCGAAATAAATGATGGTTATTATATAATGATTATCAATAGATAATGATATATTATTGATAAAATACAGGGTGTCCCACCTAGAAATAGCCACACCCTTTTATCTTTTAAGCTAAAAGAGATAGACTATAACAAATATATGAAATATATATATGAAATTAAATGGCTTTAACTGAACTTTATTGTGAGTATAGTGGTTGATTACAAAATTTATCTGTATTAAAGGACGGAGAGATATGTATAATTTTTTTATAATAATGTAGATATTTTGATATAATAAAAGTTGTAGCGCTGTTTGAAACGAATATAATGATGTATGATTTAATGTAAATATTTTACATATTATACGAGATTTTTCGGCTTGAAATATCGCGGGCAACGTCCACCATTTCATTTTCGGCCCTGCGATATAGCCAACTTCTGACTCGTGCATTAGAGGTTGACATATGTCGTTTAATCATGATACTCAGTCAGAAGTTGGCTATATCGCAGGGAAATTCGCCGAAAATGAAATGGTGGCCGTCGCTCGCGATATTTCAAGTCGGAAAATCTCGTATAATATGTAAAATATTTACATTAAATCATACATTGTTATATTCGTTTCAAACAGCGCTACAACTTTTATTATATCAAAATATCTACATTATTATAAAAAAATTATACATATCTCTCCGTTCTTTAATATAGATATATTTTGGGATCAAAGAAATATAATCGACCAAACTAGCCAGAAATTGATTTATTAGTACGACGTTTCGACCATATGGTTGTGGTCCTTATCAAGTATACACTGGAAAGATTATAAAAGATTACTAAATTAATTAACGGTTTAAATATATAGTACGCTCAACGAATTAAAATATAACAATTTTAGTATACCGATGTAATAAAAATCAGGAGACCGGCATGGATGATAATCTTGTAAATTGCACAAGTCACATTAAAAAAAAAAACACGTTATTTTAACTAAATTTGAATTCGAGAGAAATTAACGCGTCTGTGAGAGACTTCGTCAAGAGACTAAACAATAACGATATGAAAATTGAACTACGTGACCTTTATTAAGTTCAGTTTTCATTTCGTTATTGTTTAGTCTCTTGACGAAGTCTCTCACAGACGCATTAATTTCTCTCGAATTCAAATTTAGTTAAAATAACGTGTTTTTTTGTTAATGTGACTTGTGCAATTTACAAGATTATCATCCATGCCGGTCTCCTGATTTTTATTACGTCGGTATACTAAAATTGTTATATTTTAATTCGTTGAGCGTACTATATATTTAAACCGTTAATTAATTTAGTAATCTTTTATAATCTTTCCAGTGTATACTTGATAAGGCCACAACAATATGGTCGAAACGTCGTATTAATAAATCAATTTCTAGCTAGTTTGGTCGATTATATTTCTTTGATCCCTTTATTTATTGGACTAGCGACATCAAGATATAGATAAATTTTGTCATCAACCACTATACTCACAATAAAGTTCAGTTAAAGCCATTTAATTTCATATATATTTGTTATGGTCTATCTCTTTTAGTTTAAAAGATAAAAGGGGCCACTTCTAGGTGGGACACCCTGTTTGAATGACCCTGTTTGAATGTTTGTATAATTATCAATCTTGATTTTTAATAGTCGACTAAGAGAAATTATAGATAACACGGCCTTAAAAGATAAGAAATATTTATAATAATGGAAATCTAAAAAAAAATTGTAATCTAACTTTCAAAATATTCCACTCTAGGGATGTTGCTCGCAAATGTTAAATAATAACTCCATGGAAACTCCATGGTGTACGATTTAGGAAATCACGTATTGGCAACTTTCCCTATTTATCATTTATTAATAAAAGTAATATTTAGATACATTTTTCTTATTTTATAATCTTGAAACTTTTCGATTTTTAATATTAGGATATTATTTATTATTAATAGGTTTTTTTCAGATGTTTCAGCAAGTAAAAGTCATATGAGCAGCAAGTAAAAGTCACGGCCAAAGTTGGCTTTCTGAAAACGCTCGGCTATTTGTCATAAGTTTTAAAAAGTTGAAAATGAATCAATAGCGAATTCGGGAGATGCCAAAGGTGACATATGATCACAGACTAAAATTAATTTAATATAATGTCAACCGATCAGTCGAGATCGATATGCGTGGCTGGAACGAGAGTGTGATGTGAAAACGTGGTACATGTATGATTTTCAACATTTTTCGCCATGAAGTACCGCTATGAAAAATTTGGAAAAAGTAGATGTTAAAGCAGACATTTTAAGGTTTTCTTTAAAAAAAAATTGAAGGTGTATCTTTAAAACATAACCTCAAAAAATAATTTTGAAAAATTCAAAAATTTTTTTTACTCGTATATTTTGTCAGAATTTTTTTTTAATTTATTCTCAAAATAGTCTTGCTGATGTTTATAACATATATTTTTTTCATCAAAATCGGTTCGGCCGTTTTCGAGAAAAATCACTTTTTCACTTTTGCTTTCCCTCTCCATAACTCATACAAAAATGCAATTTTAAGATTGATATTTACAGGATTTTTTAGACACATAGGTGCCAATCCATGATACCAATCTCGACTCGATACGTGCGGGAGCAACTTTTACATGCTTATTCCCCTTTTGTATTGTTGGTCACCGATGATCGACAGGGCGTTTAACGTGTTAAATGAATCATTGTTAAAATTGGAAGGACACAAGGATTATTATCAACTTGTTTTTCATTCACATAAATCATTCGAAAAAATAAATAATTCCGATTAGGAAACTATATTGTAAATATAGTTTGATTATTGTTTGATAATTATAAGAATATTTATTTAATCAAGAGAATCATTTCATTTCAAGATTAATTGATCATGCTGATAATCGACTTTAAATAATGCCTTCTTTAAAATATTAAAGATTACAGCAAACTTACACAAATTTAAAAATAAATAGAAATAGTAATTTATCAGCGATCATTTTTAATCTATAAATAATCAATTTTTACAATTTAATATTAATAACTGCAACAATAAACATTATTTCATTTTTTCTCATTTTCATAATTAATTGAATTTTTGATAAAACATAGCAAACAAGATGAAACAGAATGATGCGTTTAGCCATGCGTTTTCTATTAAATATCAAAGATACAAAATTAATGAATTGAGAATCGAGATATTAGAAAAGACAACAAGAGCAGTTTAACGTCATTTTTTAAAATATGCAATAAATAGTTTCAATTAAAAATCTAAATAAACTTGAAAAGATCACATAAAGTTAAATTAAGAACAACGTTTTTCTTGAAATTTATTTTTAAAATATTACTTTAGACACACAAACTATTTATATTTTTAAAATATTCTCTTTAGACATACACACAAATCCCTATAAGCCTTTTAAAATGATTGAGAATAGAAAAAAATCGTATCTAAATAAATATTAGATTGAAGTTTAATAATTACCAATAAAAAACACGAAGTGTTTGAAAAATAAGTTTTTTAGCACAGTAATTCAGAACACGACAGTATAGCTGCAGAAACAACTTTATAACTCTGCATCACACATGCGATTGCATTTATATAGTGTAACGTTCTTCCCTTTCTGTTCTTTCTCATCGCCAAATCATTTATCGTTATTTCAACATAATAGTACACATATAAATATATTGTTATGTAAACTCGTTTATGATAAATCTTCAAAACAGATTTATGATAAATCTTCAAAACGTACTTAAATATGTTCCACAATAAAAATGTTTGTTACAATAAAATATTTATAAATTATTAAATATTTAATTTTATTTTTAAATGCAAATTAATGATATGTATTGTTATATTGTTATATTTCTATATCTCTTTTTTATATTAAAAAAACTAAAACTTATGTGTCCTAAAGAAGTAATATGCCTCTATTTGCATTTTTTATTTATATTTATAGCTTAAAGAAAAAAAGAGAAAGAATTTGTCTGCCTTATTGATTAATATAATTGATATAAAAATCCGTAACTTGTATATTTATAATGATTATTCATGTTTTAAATTGACTTGAGAATTTCGAAAATTCGAAGATTCATTTTTGATTTGTCGAATATATTTTAATGAATTTTTCTTAACGAATTTTTCTTAATTTAAATATTAATCACAGCAATGTGTGAGTATTTTTTTAAATGTCTTATTCTTTTCTTTTTTTCACTACACTTTCTTATTTATTTTTATTTCTGTAATTTTTAATAAATATCGGTTTTCGAGCAAATTTCTTAATTTCTTTCTAATTTACAATGAATATACAAAAAGACTCTGCGTGTTCAAAAGTTTGAAACACTATTATTAAAACTGTCCTGCAGTGTAGTAAAAAATGTTCTTTAATAAATATATTTGTAAGTAAAATAAATTTTCATTTTTCGAGATTTTTAATATAAAAAATGATAACAATATGTACAATATGACGATTTTTGTACCTTTCTTATATTTTATAATATCTTCGATGTTATATCATCATAAAATCTATTTTCAATCATTAGCACTCACTGTTAAATATGCAGATTACACAGAACGCTAAAACGTTTTGCAAAAGAAACACGCAATAAAAAGCTGCTATGACAGGAATAAACTTCTTTGTCATGTTGGCGACTCCATTTATTTCGTTTCCCTCCTCTGCGAACTTTATTATCTTAGTGCAGTGTCGCGAAAGAGATTGCACGCAAACATTTAATAACTATTTTCAAGATTTCTAAATCTCTTATATTACATGCTGCCATTACATCCACGGTAAATGTGCTGAATAAGGATTCCCAATGATTTTGACCTTCTCATATGTTGTCAAGGTTACTGTCCTGAGTGACATTCAAAAAGTTTTAGCCATTTATTAAAAAGTTATTAACTAAAAAGTTGTATAAATTATGTATAATTTTTAGATACTATATACGTTTTAAGAATGAAACATGTACATGCGTGGATACATGATTTCCGCCCCCCTCCCTTACGAAGATTTTACTTCTGGAAGAGATAACTTAACTCAAACCTATTCTGATTTAAACCAAATTTTAATTTTAAATCAGAAATAGGTTTGGGTTAGGTTATATCTTCTGGAAGTGGAGCTCTCCCGTAGAGGAGCGGAATCCACTGTAGCCACGCATGTACTTTATAAAAGAAACAGAAGTTAATTCTTAATGAAAGTCAAGATAAAATTTGATTTAAGTTCTATAACCCAAATTGCATCGTGCTTTCGTATTGTACACTGTTCTTTAATAATTCCATTTCTCTAGCGAGGAGAGATAATATCTATCCTTTGTTAATGTTTATTTTTTTTAAAACGTACATAGTGTCTAAAAATTGCATATAATTCGTAAAACTTTTTAAGTCAATAACACAGGCCTGCGAGATTTTTTTTTAAAGATGCAATAGTGATTTCCGACGTAATTTTGTGCGCTGAATCCGAATCTGGCCGTCGAATTTGCGTAGCATGTCAAGTTTTTGAGTTATTTGTAGTTGAATAGCCCAAAAATCATTATTTTGGCTAATTTCATGAATTTATTGTGAGTAAACCAAATTTTTTGAAATATTTCTGTCAATGGCATCGTATAATACTCACTTTCGCCTTTCAAATTCACTTTCGCCGCACGATTTTTCTTCGCTGAGATATACAGGGTGTCCCATTTTAATGCCCCACCCCAAATAACTTTCTTATTTTTAATTTTAGAAAAAGATGTTTCAGACAAAAGTTGTATGGTTTCGAGGGGGACATAAGATGGTACCATTAATTTGATCTTGAAGAGTCACATGAAGGTTACGTGAAGATCATTTTCAATTTCTTAAATAGAACACCCTATATATTTTTGCATATTCTTGTAGCTTATCTCGAGAGCTTTCCAAAACACTATAAATAAACATTTTTTCATCAAGTACGTTTCGAGTAATGAGGCTTGAAATCATTTCTTAATTTTACATAAACCATAAAATATCTTGTAAAATATTCATTTTTTGATTATCTTACCTTAATACTTTTATGTACAAAATAATGAGAGAAATCAATTGGTGTGAAATCAAAGAAAACATACAGTTGTTTTTAAGAAAAAATATGGAATTGTTAATTGCAAATTACATATTTTTTTCTTAAAAACAACTGTATGTTTTCTTTGATTTCACACCAATTGATTTCTCTCATTATTTTGTACATAAAAGTATTAAGGTAAGATAATCAAAAAATGAATATTTTACAAGATATTTTATGGTTTATGTAAAATTAAGAAATGATTTCAAGCCTCATTACTCGAAACGTACTTGATGAAAAAATGTTTATTTATAGTGTTTTGGAAAGCTCTCGAGATAAGCTACAAGAATATGCAAAAATATATAGGGTGTTCTATTTAAGAAATTGAAAATGATCTTCACGTAACCTTCATGTGACTCTTCAAAATCAAATTAATGGTACCATCTTATGTCCCCCTCGAAACCATACAACTTTTGTCTGAAACATCTTTTTCTAAAATTAAAAATAAGAAAGTTATTTGGGGTGGGGCATTAAAATGGGACACCCTGTATAAGTATGAAATTGTAAGAAAATTTACGTTAAAGAGAATTTATATAGACATCAATATGGTAGATCCATGATCTTGAAATTTGGAAAGACTGACATATGTCAGATTCGGTTGGCCAAAAAAGTATTGTAAAGAAATGTCTAATACAGTTGTTATACATTTTGATAAATTTTTTTAAATTTTATGCCTTTTTATTGTGATTCTATTCACCATATTGGATGCGCCATTTTTAATTTCAAAAGGTGACAGAAGGTATTTAAAAATGTATATTTTTATCCTAATTTTGATTCGTAGTGAGATAGAGAGATGGCACGGTTGATTTAGAATGGCTTATTGGATTCCTATGCATGACCAGTCTTATAACTTGTATATCTGAGCAAAAAAGAATCGTGCGGCGATAATCGAAAGTGGATTCAAAAGATGAAAATGAGTACTATACGATGCCATTAACAGAAATATTTCAAAAAATTGAAATACTACGCAAATTCGGCGGCCAGATTCGGATTCAGCGCACAAAATTACGTCAAAAATCACTATTGCATATTAAAAAACATTTTTGACCCCCTTTTTCGTAGGCCTGTGTAATTTTTTAGTAACTGACGAGCGACGGCTAAAACCTTTTGAATGTGACTTAGGACAGTGATCTTGATAATATATATCAAAGTTCAAGATTATTGGGGCTGGGTGCGCTATTCTGCACATTTACCATTTAAATTAAGAATAGCAACAAAAAATTGAAGATAATAATGAATTTTTTGTGAGAATAATTAAATCAATTGTTAGTTTTTGTCTAACCTAGAGTGTACAAGATTAATTAAATTATAATTTATAAAGAAATACATATATCATGAAAAATATTAATCAAGCGAATGATTTTCTTTTTGTGATGCAAATGATACACTTATGTGTGATTTTGACATACAAGACACTCACATTTTTCACAAATAGATATTCAATGTTTTACAAATAATTTTCGGTTATATATATTTATGATAAAATATTTATTATATATATATATATATATATATATATATATATATATATACACACATGTGTATGTACATATATTAATATAATTAAGAATACAAGAATCTTTGAAAAATAAAAATAATAAATTCGAAGTTCATCTTAAAATATCTTGTGAAATATTAATTGAAATTAAGAAATATGTAGAAAAATATTTTTCAAAATATCGGATAACAATTTTGTATATCTTAGAATAAATCTAGATGTTAGTTTAAATTGTTATTATCTTTAGATACAATCGAAGAATGTATTAAAATACAATTTTTTTTAAATTTTACATTACATGGGCAATATATTTAATGATTTATCTTTACAGATTTTTTAACAAAAATACTAGCTGTAGATATTTCCTATGAGTTAAAATAATATAATATACACTACTTCATATATATATATTATGTTTTAAAGAGCGCTGGATTTAATTTTGCGGAAGTTGAGATATATTACGCCATTTAAAGGCATTGTCATGGCACCCCTTTGATCAATTACCGTTGGTATCAAGGTTTTCTCGCATGGTCTCACTTCGCATTTACTCAAGATTATGATCAGCGCTAATTTTATCTTTAAAAGTGCTAAACGAATGCCTAAGTACATATAAATTATATTTGTAATTATATTATATTATAACAAAAATAAAAATTATATATCATCATACACATAACAGACTTATCATACACAACGGAATTATCATATACATATATAATGAAAATTATTCGCAATTTTGTTATATTAATTTGCACTTTCAAAATATGAAGCTATAAATTTGAGAATTATAAAATTTATTAGATTATAAAATATATAATAATATTATATTATTTAATAATCTCAATATTAAATACATAATTTATCTTTCTTTCAAAACCTGCAGATTTTTATTTATTTGGAATTAGTGTAATCTATTATACTTTTATAAAAGGAAAGTTTATATTTCTTCATACGTTTTTAAAAACATGTAATTTTATAAACTAAACGCAACATTTATAATAATTATATAAAAACGTAAATTTGTCTATGAAATTTACAGCTTCAGTATATGATTTTGTTATTTTCCATATCATACAAATATCTCTTCATATCAAAATTGATTTTTTTACCTATGCAATTATGTGGACCTTCTCCGAAGGGAAAGTAAACGCATGCTGGTCTATTACGTTTATTTTCTTCATTGAATCGCTCCGGATCGAACTTATCCGGATTGGGAAAATATTCCGGATCATAATGTAGACCGAGCATTGGGATGTACACCGGTGTACCTTTTTCAATTACGAGGTCAGAGTTCGGTACTTTATAAGCTTCATTTGGCATACGATTTATATATCCCAATGACGGATACATTCTCAAAGTTTCGGAGATTACCATATCCAGATACGTTAACGTCATAATCTAATAATAAAATAATAATAATAATAAAATAAAATGTCTCATAATATAAATATAAATATATATATACATATGTATATACTTGTATATATCACATATACATATATGTATCAATTTTAAATGAAAATTTGATCAAAATTTAAATAAAATTGCTCTGACAATGGAATCAATACTTGCGTGATATATGTTTATTTTAATAATTTTTCGAAAGTAACTGTAATATTCATGTACCAGATCGTATGTAATTTTTCCATCAGACTTGTCGAGAGCCTCGACAATTTCTTTCCTCACAGTATTTTGAAGATCAGGTTGCAATGCAAGCTCGTACAATGAGAACGCCATTGTCGTTGAAGTGGTCTCGGAACCGGCGGAGAAAAAGCTGGCTGCTTGCGCCAGAAGATTATCCCCATCAAATTCTAAAATTCAATTTATCTAGACTTTTAAAAGCTCTTATTATATTTGCAATTAATTTTAATTATCGAAATTATTGATTTAATATATCAGTTAATTTAATAACATTATTACTTCTCTTAGCGTTATCTCTCTTTTATTTATTTATTTTGGAAATAGAAATAAATTTTTAAAATAACCATTATTTATTTCTGTGTTGCTTACTAAATCCGTAATAATCTTGATCACCGTTAGTCTTTTTCAATTCGAGAAGAATGTCAATAAGATCAATCCTTTTGA